GTTCCATTATGTTGAATCAGTTGTTTTCCGGGTTCGAATTATCCCTTATTATTTTCCCCGAATGGCAGTAGAAGAATTGTCATCTGTTGCACAGAATTGTATTCTGCTCCTAACTTTAGCGTGAATATTTCGTTCGTTTTGCGAAGATATGGCGTAAATGGAATATGTATAGAGTTGATATCTGTCCGGACCTTTTTTTTGGGGTTTGAGCGTAAGTTGGAGTAAGGTAGGGAATTAGCGATTGGCACCCACGAATACTGCTCGTCTGATTGCTCTTGCTGCCGTACAATTTAGCGTGTAAAACAAAACGTTCATTTAGGATATAGTTTTAGTACCAGACAGGTGTTGGCTTTGCCAGAACTGCAACAGTCGTTTTACACTCTCATACGATAGGTTGAAATTGATCCTCATAATCTTCGCAGCGCTTACTTCTCGTGTAAATTATATTACAATATATGCTTGCGTTTCAGATCGAGCTGGATCCATCTTCAGGGAATTGTGCAAGTATAATAGACAACGACAACAAGTACAGTAGACAAAGTTATCATTGCCGTTATATGCTGTGCAATGGTTTTAAGGTGGTGCATTATGAACGAATTGTGACGAATTGTTGATACGTAATGCAGCTCAAGCTGGTAGGTTTTCGTGTAATACAATTTTGGTACTCGTCGCCAATTCTTTAGTTGTGTTCCCCCAGACTGATGGCAAGTTCTCTCCGTTGTCTTTGCTCACAGTTATTCTCGTGCCTGTGCCAACGGCTTTTCCGGTTGTCTCTTTTCCGACATACCCCATTGATGTTTTTGTAATCAATGCTATGACCCTCCTTCACCGCGTACCCAATTAGTGCGGAGTTCTTTTCGTATTCTTTTTATTGCCGTCGGCTCTTCCTGTCGTTTCCTCCTATGTTGTTTTTGATTTTGTCCACATTGCCTTTGATCGGTATTGTTCCACCTTGTGAAGTACAAGTGGTTATTTTTCTTCCGACCTTCCAGGCCGTTTACAGATTTCCTCAGTATACGAAGCCCTGCATTTTAGAGATATTATTAATGGTTTTTACACGAGGAAGCTGGCTATAAAGCATGACATCAGATTTGAACAGCAACCGTACGCAAAGTTTAGACTGTTTTAGACTTTGCAGTATTTTGTCACCTTCAACATGGTTGACATCTGATAGTGTAGTGTTGAATGTACATTGTTTCTTTTGAGGTAAATCGTTGGTCGATGAACAGAAGCTTATGAATCGTCAAGACTCGCCGTCTTCTGACTACAGCATCGAAACAAGGGCCGTGAAAAGCAAAGAATATGTCTCACCTTACGTTTGCGGTTTGACAGACGATTCACTTCGTCCCATGTTCGTCAGCGATTCGAAGGTGACCATTTGATGTGTGATTTTTTGTTTTTGTTTAAAATTAAACCTTTTCTCGATTAAGGATGATGACGTGATTGTCTCTAGCTGCAGATCCCGTACGATTCTGCCAATGAAAAGCAAGTAAGCAATCGCCTTATATAGAGTTTGCTTAAACGACCCCAACTTTTTGTAACTGTATGCGTTTTATAGAGCTTTAAGCAAGGAGCTGATGCCGGCACCGTTTACTTCATCATCGTCTTCGCTCTCTTTGATCGTCACCGCTGCTGAGCAGGAATTACCCGAAGAGGAACCACCGCGGAAAGCTATCGTCGCAGCCGCCAATCCAACCGGAAGCCGCAAACGGAAACCGGCCAAGACTGTTCATAGGGTGTGTTCGTTTGAAAATTTTAAGTTGAAGAAGGTTGGTGGTGGCGGTTGGCGTAATGTTCTTTTCTTTTCGTGCAAAGCAGTGCAGCAAACATCAAAAACAAGTAATACAGAGTTATACAAAACAAGATTTTTCTTCGCTTTCATTATCATCAACTGAGGCTATGGGCAAAAAATCTCGTCCGCCTTTCTTCTATCTGAGTGTTCTGTTGGGAAGGGATACAACTGACTGGTGATGCAACTATCCGGTTTTGAGCAACGTTGATCGTGGCTCTAGTTTCTGCTTGTGTTGAGATTGCGTAACAATTAGCTGGAGATTTGAGAAATTTACATCTGAAACAGAAGAGGAATGTTTACGCAACAGCCCGACATTGGAATTTGCTTCGTCAAGGGTCTATTCTTCAGTAAGTTGAAGATGAGCTATCATATTTAGGTGTTGGCGTTTTAAATCAGGACAAAGATATGCTTTTCTTCCAACCATCATGCATTAAATTGACATTGTTCGAAGTCAGCAGGTTGACCCTTTTATACTTTTTCTGGCTTGAACCATTGAGGCCAAACCCGCGCTCGTTTGGTCCAGTTGCACCGATATACGACCCTGGATCCCCTGAATCATTGCGCTGAGGGAACAACGAACAACTGTGCGAATTTTTGGCCACTGTCGCAGCTTAATTATTATTCTGGCTCCGCACTGCCCATTATGCAGAGTTCAAGCCATCGTTTTTCCATAGTCGTTGCACTGAACGCAAGGGTGAAGTCAAGACATCGTCTTTTTCCGATGCGCTACACTTTGTTTTAAAGTTATTGTGCATATGACCTAAAAATCCTGCGACGTCTGCTAATGCAAACGGCTGAAGGCGACGGTATTTCAAACACCAATGGCTAAGGCTTATTTCTGTTGGTGCAACATTTCAGCAAATCAAGTTGCAGCAGCGTCTCACTAGGTTGGTTAATGTGTTCAATAGACCGCGTCAAGAGAGTCGCAAACAGACCTTTTTAAAATTATTATGGCGGTAATTTTTGGCCTTTCCCAAAAAACTTCATTACATTCAAATCCTTACTCAATGTCGTTTTGTTGTATTATTGACTTGTTATACATGACCAGCAGTGATTCTTTTGCACACAGCTGAGTCACGTAAATCAATTCAGACATTTTGACCAGACAGAACAGGGTAGGGCAGGGTTCATATCCGTATGCGTAACAGCTTTAGCCAGTGCTACCAAAAATTACTGACCGCCACGGTATTACATTCTTCATGCTGTGATAAACAACTGGCAAATATATAGTTTCACGACTTGTTTAGATTCAGACCCCGGATTTTGTCTCCAGCTCGTTTTGCTTTACACCTCGCGATTCGACGATTGCCTACAACAGAGCTTCGGAAAACGAACACTCTGAAGGACCTGCTGCTTTCATTGGCACTGCCACGAATCAGTGCGACGCCTTGGACATCGACGGAACGGCTACAGACCGTTCATCTGACCTGATTCTTGATCTTAAGAAGGAGCAGAGAGACGGCGCTTGTTCGGTAAAGCAGTCGCAAGCACCTGCGTCGTCACCGCCTCTTTCCGACGTCGCCGCTGTCGCCACCTCTTCCTCAAGTTCGGTTTCTGAATCTGTAAGTTGACCGTAAAAGATGACTTTCTGCAAAGGTTTTTCCCGTCATTGATCTAAAAAATCTATTTATGACTATGTTTTGACTCAGACAACCAGTGAATATTTCTGACAACAATAAACAAACGCAACTGTTCTGCCGCCAACTAATTTTAAAGTTCGTTGGACGTTTCTAATGTGGGTGTCACGTCTTTTCCGCATCAAACGATGCAAGATGCAGTATTCACTCCAGGTGCTACCTGGTGCATGCCTTACATAAATAGGTATTAAGGAGTCACGAACCAAACGAACGATGCTATAAAGTCAGAAAACCCGCTTACTTTCATTTTTGTACTTATTAACACAGAAAGGGTCATGAACTTATAAAAGGTGACAAGTTGTTCATTGACGGTAACGTATATATCGTAAATTGTTTACTATACATATGATATGTGCCGCAGTATGTATTTTTTAGCATGAGTATACTGTACTGTCTATATCATGTTGATTAGAAAGCGGTGTTTTATGTTTCCGTTAAAGTGGTGTCAATCCGTCCATCCCGGTGTGTATTGACCGTTACGGTATATGCTGAAACCGGTTTTTTCGACTGAACAGCAGATTAATTACAGCATATACCGATGAGGCTAAGTACACACAATGTTTTAGAAGTGCAGAGATTTAGATATGGGAAGGTTTAATGAACATTTAGTAGTAACAGTATATAGTATTGATTGTGGATATTATACTGTGTACTACTTCTGACTACTATATTTTATATGTAAAGATTATATTGCGTGTAGTTTATATAAATGATGTTATCATGCATGGAAACATATACATGTTGTGTTTACGTATATGTATACGATGTATAAGAATATATATTGTTATGAAAGAACGTAGATGGGCTCGAATGCGCTTTCTTCTGCCGATGACTCACCTTACGCTTCTCTTACTGGTTTTGTAATGAACCTCGTCCACAAGATAGACTCATTTACCAAGAAATCTCCGCTTGGGGGAGGAATTTGACTCTGGAACTTAATGCCGCAGAATTTTTCTCATGCGTACGAATCGGATTATAATTAATTATTTTGTTTTTGAAGTATGTTTAGACATATGTTTAGGTGATACTTAAAGATGCTTCATCGGTGCTATCGAAGAAAGCTAAAACGGAAGAGTCGCTACAGAGTTTGATGGGTATATGCATAACGAAGAATCAGACAGTGCCCGAAGACGACGAATTTCGGTGCTGCTCGAATCTGAACACGTTCACGGCCAGCTGCGCATCACTGTCCCCGCCTTCTGCGTATCTGTTGCAGCTGGACAGCCCCCAGCAAAAGGCCCGCGGTCAGGCAAAGATCGGAAAATCAGAAAACGACCATTCAACGGCGACTGCCGATAACTGTACGTTCTGTGCCAACTGCTTTACGACGACGACCACCGCCTGGCGACGTGATCGTTTCGGCAGATTGGTGTGCAACGCCTGCGGCTTGTACTACAGGCTACACAAGGCACGACGTTTGTTTTCACATTGGTCGAGTGGTTTTCAAACTGCTTCTTGAAACTGTTTGACTTGGATTCACCAATGGAGGCAGGGGTCCCTTGAATTCACTTGCTGAACACCATATTTAATGTCAGGACTGTTTTTAGGGACCGACCCTTTGGCAGACTTTTACTGCAGACGCCATTATTACTGGTCACTATAAGCAGACAGTGATATTGTTAACTGTAGTTTTAATTTAGGCATATTCGTTTAAGTGTCCCCTTCTCTTCCTGTGGGCAGGACAAATACTGAGCTTATTCAGTATTAACGTATGAACAAAAGAGGGCTGTTTTGCAGAGAAGGTTCAGAAGCCTTGGGTTCTTTATGAAAACTTTGCTTAGATTTCTATACGCTTTCCTACAAGACTTGGTTGGTCCTCACACCGCCAGCGACCCAGTGATTCCTTCCCATCATGCCGGAGCCAGTTTTATTCTGCACAAGTATATTTGTGTGCCCACTATACTCTTTGTACCCTCATGTTACATATAAAATGATGGCCCTTTTTATTAGTGCATTGTCAAGTTTTTTGATTTAATTTTTTCTGAACTACCAAATTTGTTCTATACCACTTAATGTACAGATTTATTTTTAATTTTTGTTCAAAAAATGACATCTATTTTGTAATAGAACAGATATTTGTGCAGGTTTCTATACAATTATTAGGATTTGCCCGCGTCTTTAACGAGCATGAAAAATTTGGTGAGTAAATATAATGATCGCTCGTGTCTCAGTCGAGCGCGTACAAATTTGCCAGTAAGACGCGCTCGTGTCTGACACGTGCACGTGCGTTAGGTGGTTATTCCTCTGTTGCGACTGCGTGACGTCGTTTACACTATGCAAATGTGATATATCAGAGATGGATGTCTACAAGTATGTGATGTCCCTTGAAGAAGATTCGAGAACACAGTGGGCGGTGCTTGGCGTGAAGCCAATACTTTGACTTCTGTTGTTTAAACCTCATTCTGCCGTGTGTCGAATATCACGGATTACTTATTTCACAAAATTTATTCGCAACATTATTCCGTGTTTTATCCGTTCACCGGATTTTTGCGACGTATTCACATCGGTTCTGGCTTCTCAGTGCCTATGAGATCATTTCAATATGCCACGACACCGTGTGGTAGTTTAGCTCTTGCATTGCGTGAATGCAGTGCGGTGTTAGGTAGAACAACAAGTACACATTTGAACACCTACTGGAGCAATCCGCCATTTCACGTCGATATATCGCGTCTCGATATTTCTTTAATTACATGGAAAATAGCTGGCCGCAAACAAGTTCACTAAGTCACAACCGCCTGCGTCACATCCTCTTAGACCATTCTCTATCTCGCCCCCCCCCCTTAAGTACCCAAAATATTAGCATGATAACCGCTTATCCGTCATTTTTTAAACATCATTATGTAAACGACACTTTGTAGGTGAATCGTCCGGTATCGATGCGCAGAGATGTGATCCAGACACGATTCCGTAAGAAAGTGGCTCCATTGTCGTCCAGCCCCTGCTATTTGAACGCTTCGCTGAGTGCTCTCAGTTCGTGCTGCCACCCCTGACACACGCGTCTAATTTCTTAGTTCGCAGTATTGCCGCCGGCCAAACGCTATCAACTACCATCTGTTGTATTTCCGAAGGTATGAAATGAGTAATGCGCGGTGCGTTGCGTGCAATCCTATTACTAGTATTGTGTACGGTTTGCCGTTCTGTTATTTACTTGACCTGACTTATTCGCTCCGTCTCACGCGGTTCTTCCGCATTCTGTTCTCCTGAAGATAGCGGTTTATTTTCCAATTGCTTTTATTTTTGTGTATGGTCACTGGGCAGCTATGTTAGTGTACTCTTTTTTTTCCAAAGACCAGACTCGTCTGGTGTACAGCTTGTCTTGTCGTAGCTACTGAACGGCGGGTCGTCAGACGCGTTCCTGAGGTTTTGCTGACTTATTAATTGTTAAAGCTGCTTAGTTGTTTTGTTTATTGTTCTTTTCTATTTCTCTTTCTTCTTCTTCAGCTGATGGAAGATGGTCTTATGTACAGTTTTTTATATACACGCGATAAAGCTTATGTACAGTTATTCTCATTCCACGCTTACTGATGACATAAATGATCTGATTATTTGACATATTTCACACTCTCGGTCCTACTCCTTATTCTCTTTGTTTTCATGCGTTTTCGCTGTTGCATATTAAAAAATTATTTCCTTACGCGGTATGGGCGTCTTTTTGTTTTAATAAATTTTGCAGAAACGATAAGTTCGCCCAAGAGGCCTTCGTCTACAAAAAGTGTTGAAGAGATCATAGACAATGTATACCTTGGACGACAGATCAAGATGAGGCAAAATTTCTGAGGAACAGTCTGTGGTAACTAGAGGATTTGGTACTTGCTTGGAAAATAAGCATACTTTTAAGTATATCATGTGCCAAAAAGTATTATGCGTTTCTTTTTGCTTAATACTATGTATATTCGTGCATATCGTCGCTAATCCCGTGATCAGCGATTACTCAGAAGTTAAGAAAAACAAAATTTATTCTCCTCGCCTCAAGACCTGCTTCGCACGTTTCTGCCAGAATCGGCTAAACGTCTGAAAGCACAGAGGGTCAGTTTATACCTCACAAACAACGCAAAGTTCACACATTTACGCATCAGTAAAATAACTGTACGCATGAAACCGACCAAAGCATTCAGAGAGAACTGTTGGATCGATGAACGACTGTAACAAACACGAACAAAATCAGTGCAGTTCATGAATCAGCATGTCATGGAGGCGGGGCGTTCAGAAAGAAGTCTAGACGGACGATAATTGTCAGAGACGGAAAGTTTCGTCCTCTTGGAAACTGCAGTTTATGAAAGCCGCCTTCTTCGATACGGCCGATGCCTCTCTAGCAGCTATGTCCGTATCGAACACGTTCACGTTTGGATGGCGTACAAAGTCAAGTTCCAGCTCGTCTGAAAGACGGTTGTGGTTTTTCCGTAGTCGATATCGATCGCGGTCGATGGTCAGCGCCGACGACACTGCAGACGACATTCTAGAGGGTGCTGAGGCCAAAAGAAACGGAGCGTTTACGAACACATCATTGTTCAACGTCATGTCGCGCACCGGCGTGTGCTTCTCTTCGATGGCGCCACGCCTCGACAGCAGGCTCATCTCCATTGACTCCGGTACTTCCAAATCCTCGGCATCATTTTCGTCAGTCAGTAACGGGCATCTGCCCATAATCTGAAAGAACGATATCGTACGGTATATAATATCAGAGATCAACATATTTCCGTGGATTGACAATTACCTCCGGTTCAGTGAAAAGATTCTGATCAGCCCCAGCATCAATGTGCGATGCATGCGACGAACCTGGGTAAAAATCATCAGGCTCGACGTCGCCGACGGATACCGAACCGTCCTCCTCGTATTCAGACGAACTGCTTGCTTCCATTCTTGCCTGCAGATCGGTAGCCGAGCCCACCGAGTCGATGTCATCGTTCGTACCAACCGAGCACTTCTTTGATACACCCATATCAACATCATCCATTTCTACCAATTTACGATAATGAAGCACTTTCTCGCTCGAATGCTTAGACGACGTGATTTTCATGCGAGCCATATCTGCAGAAGCACCCGAAAAAATTAAACATTAAATATGAAAAGTTTGACAATAGCTTACCGTACCATGCGTTCAGCTACAAACACGCTAAGGGAGAATGGGGACAGTATCCAGAAGGGACTAGAAGCCCAGAGTTAAGACAGTAATCCTCAAAAGATTATTTGAAAGACGGTTCCCGTCTTAATGAAACCAGAACATTAGTGCAATAGTGCGTAAAAACGAAATTCGATTTTTTACCGTGGTTTATTAAATAGTTGCGCAAAAATCAGCTCATTTCTTTACTAGTTCCTGGATCATTTCCCGCTGACATGCTTCCAACATGTTTTGTCTATTACTGTGGCTCTGTCTGTCTTTTCTTCTAAGTCCTCACAGATGCTGAATAATTACTCGCAGTAACTCATACCAACCTCCAAATTTTGCTAACGGGCATAGATAAGTGAATTCACCATCTCGATGTCTTTATCCTCAACTGAAAAATACAAATATTGGCGACCATGTGTAAGTCAAAATCTCTCACCATCACAGAAAGGCTGATTGCGCAGACCAAAGAAGAACAAATTAAGGTATGCATGAATATTCAATTTGCCGACTCATTGTTAGAGCCCATTTAAAATACACCATTTATTTTAAAATGATGGTAAATTTTAAACGCGCTCGAATTATAAAAACTGCCTAAATACTGTCTGTTTAGTAAAATAACAGTTTCCCTCGATTCACTGTAGAAAAACAAACCAGCGATGTTAAACTTGACGCGAGGCACTTTGCGACGCGAACACCGGAAATTACAACCTTTAGCTTAATAATGACACCCACTGTTCAAATTATAGGTCGCATGCTACAGATCAATACCACACTACAGTACCACCAACATAGATACAAAAAACAAACTAAGGTCAGAATAAGTGATAACATGCTGTAAGTGAACAGTCACTAAAAACAGATTTAAATTACCTTTTGATAATTTGAACGGTGCAGTCCCGAACGGGTCGTTTTCATCAACTGTCATTACTAAGCTTTCTCTGCTCTTAACGTTGGCGGTGCCTATACAAACGATGTTATAACATGATGGAACAATGGTAAGGTGGTACACATCTGCATGATCAGTGCTACGTAGTAACAATCCATGGGGTTTCTTCCATTAAGCGAGATGCGAATTCTCATATTAACCATTAATTTCCATAATTTACCTTGAAATTGGAAATCCTGAAATCTGCCCAGGGTAATCACGCGACACCGCCTAATAAAGGAGTTCCACGTGACAGCTAGACACCATACGACAGTATTATATTCGACTATAGACGTGAGAACTAAAGAAAGTCTGATGCTGAACACCGGACAAAAATATTCGTAAGAAACGATAGAGGGAAACTGAAGGGTTCAGTTTTGCTTGACGTCACTGCCTTAGTTGGTTGAGAGGAGAATTTTGCGTTCATGCAGTTGCATGCAAACGAATACAGGGCTCCTTATGCGCCTGTTTGTTATACAGGGATTTCCCTTCAGCTACGTGCGTTCTGAGTTCTGACTGATCGTTAAAAATGCATAAATTAAGCAAAAAGAGAACAATTTTTGGCAAAACTCACACTCCTCTAACATCCATCAACCTAAGCCCATAATTAAAGGATATAATTAAGACACACAGAGACGTAGGTGAAAATTTACTGCTTGGCGAGCCTCTTCTTCGAGGGAGTCTGTCAAAACGGTCGCCGAAAATCGTGTCGTCGATGTCGAACGGGTTTCTCGGCAGACTGCTACTCGACACATGCTGCTGTGAGTGGTATGGCCTAAAAACATTATCGGTTCAGACAAACAGTCAGTGCTACACGTTACCGACCGAAAAGCGGACCTTGAACTGCGTTCGAAATTTTGAATCACCGTTGGGTCGCTGACGTTGCGACGGTGGGTGCGCTGGAAAGGTGGCGGCGGCGGCGGATGAGGCGTCTGTTCATTGAACGGCTGCTCGATCGCAACCGTCGTCTTATGGTCCTTCAGTTCACCCTCACGATCGTCGTGGTACTCGTCCACTGAAATAATCATCGAAGCGCTAATTAACTGCACACCCACACAAGTCGACATCATGATTCCTATAGGCCTACCTTTGACGGTGACGACGAATGGCCCGGCCGAGTTGCTGAATCCAGAGGTGCACTTGCTACTGGACACATCATCCTTGGCACAGCTGCTCTGAAATGAAATCCTGCCGAAGATTTGTGAACAAACCATCAAACGATAAAATTATTGCACTTGACTAGATTTGACGGTGTATTGCAACGCTTCTTTATTCCAAGTCAAGGGACCATTGAAGTAGTATATGGCTCTACGGTGGTATCTGAACACACGCTGCGCCTGATACAGCAGTCAACATTTAATTCAGTAGAGCAACTAAGAGCAAGGGGCAGTGCAACGCATCGTGAAATCCGCATTTCGAGGAGTTAAGCGTTTGAAAAATCAATTCCACTCGTGACCACAGTACTTGATGCTGCTGCTCTACTTCCATTGAATACACTCGCCCAAACCAGTTAAGTTTCAGATACCTTACTTAGGATAAAGCCTTATCCTTGTTCCAATACAATGACATGGTTGCGCATCAATACACTACAGGTGACATTTTATCATGAATCGGTATCTGCTTGCAGATTCCCTAAGGCTGTGAAAGTAACTGGACGATGTGACTCTTACGAAGATATCCGAAGAAGCAATGTATATATGCCATTACAACTGCAACAGTGTTATGGGCATTTTTGACTATATCACAAACAAATATCACAATTAAGTAAGAAGCTTTAAAAATGAAAATTTTTGTAGTTTCACAAAAAAATATATTTTCTAAATTTTTTTGATGGCAGGGATTAGAGCCACTTAATCTACTTATTTTTGACCCTCCGGATAAAAGGAAATAAACCTAAGAGGTTTTGGTCCTCCAATGATCCTACCAGCTCCACAGAGTGGATTCAGCAGTTATGCTAACAATGTGTAATTTGTCAATTTCGTGACTGGAATATGTACAAAATAGCTTCAAATGTACAACTATGATCATTTAATGAATGACAAGCCTCTGTTATAAGGGTCAACAATGTCCAAGTTGAAAAAACAGAAATCAAATGAATGTGACGACACTAACCGTTGAACTTTTCCATGAAACGTGCGAATCGACGGGAAATTGTAGTGACGGCGAAGGAATCTGTTGTGGTTTTGGTCTCTGCCTTGGCGTAACACTTGTGCTGGCGGCGGCGCCCAAACTTTTATGTACATGAGTTTCAACCGAATGCCTAAAAACAAAGCCTTAAACGAGCTTACACGTGGATCTCATCGAATGACTATAACACAAATACTGTAAATGGAACAACAAAACAGGGAAGACTGTTTGAATGCAAAACTGAAAAAAACAGACTGTTTCACACTGCTGAGGAAAGCTAAAGCCTCTTACTGCTTAAAGGTAGAAGTAAACTGTTACACGGAAAAGCAATATTTCAAACAGAACAAAAGTAGTCCGAATGGAACCGATATTGGCCATAAGCCATAAAAAACAAAATGTGACATTAAGCACCACTATCCTAATAGCTTAGGATGACACGCCCTGAGTGTGGAATAATGACTTGACCGTAAAAACGTCGTTTAGGAAATACTCTAAGATGCTCATATTAGGTGGGTGAACTGTGAGATACCTACGTTACCATACAGTGGGGGCGTAACTACAAACATTTTCCAAATACGACTACTAAAAACCAAGATTAAAGAGCGGGCCAACGATTTCGCGCATCCAGGATTAACACTTGATGATGAAGGTAAGTGTTATCTAAAAATGGACTGGAATTGTTAAACCTACTGAACTGGTATCAGTGGGCTTAAAACCAACGGATCGGACAAGATTAATAAAAACTAGGATCACCACCTTCAAATTAACCGATCTGCGGTGCCGAGTACAGCATGGTAACGTCTGTTGCTTTAATACGTCATAAAGCTAGTCTGCTGGAAAAGCCATCTGCGAAGTAACCTGAAAGTGCGATAGTATAGCCAGGAGTGAGCGGACGATGATGAACACCGGTATGAATAAACTACCAGCATAACTTAGACAGCAACGTCTAGTTTGGTCTGGCAAAACTGAGAAAGTAAATTGGTTAAAATCATTCTCTCATAGAATCGACCCTTAGCCGCAGATACACTGGAGAACAATACAAAAATGGATACATGTCGTGGAGAAGAACCAGGTTTACATCGCAGCAGCGAACGGTGCTTAATATTAATCTGAGGTTTTAAACGATAAAGCGCGACAAACATGAGCTATTCTCATTTTCACGTTTAATCGATTTCAGACGACGATGATGATAATGACATAAACGTAATTATGTTCATTTTGCAATGAACTGACGTAAACCTGAACGATTAACATTAAATATTGAATGACTATATTTTAATAACTCATCAAAGGTACATATGGAGCCATTATTAGCACACCATGTACATTATTTACGAAATTAATAAATAATTTAGAAACGTGATGATACCGTAGCAAAGAGGCCGGCCTTGAAATCTTACGGGAATTTTTTAATTTAAGCGTGAATTTCTTTGAGCAAGCGGCTGAGAAACAAGCAGTAAAGAACTAACGAATTTAGGGATACCATGATACTCTGTTGGGGTCATGCCAGAATGTACGAGGTGGACGGCTATTCACTTCCCACACGAGCGACCCCAACGGTCGCAATTCACGTTTATCCACCTAATAGCTGACTATACACCGTAATAATCAGGGTGTAACATTGATTTTGATAATCAATCAATCAACTTTATCTATTTGGACACAATCATCTAACCAAAAAACAAATACCTGCTAGAAGCTGAACTAGAAGGCCTCTTATTTTCGAAGCTGGCTTTCATTCGCTGAATTAAGGTCGGAAAATCGCTTACTTCTGAGTTCTAAATAAATACGCAATAATAAAAACATTAGACACACACATACTAAAATTCTGAAAAGCAAAGTACTGAGGATACGAAGTACAAAATTAAACGAAAGTTAACCCATTTTACTTTGGCAATTCTTCGAATACTACAAAGCAAAAACTTATCGCATTTTTTAAAATGTGTTTAAACCGTTACGTTATCTTTGCTGATGCCATTGGAACATATAGTTTAAGAAACTGAAACACGGAGTAGCTGATATACGGTACAGACGTTGCGATAAGCCTGTCTATCCTTTAAGTGGAGTCGATAAAATTCTATACAAGGTAGAGGAGATTCTGCTAATTAGCTATACAGACTCCTTTGCCTTCATCACGGCGGCGCATAGGCAAAACACAACAATAGAACGCATATGAAAAGGCTATCCGATTTGACTAGTTCAACACCGTCATCGTCAAATGTCATAGTTAATTAACGAAAGGGCCTTAAGGCTGGCTGGCAGTGGATGAATGTTCGCAAGGGTTTGTTGGCTACCTTTAGCCAAACAAAGGAAATGAAAAAACGAAACAAAACATTACGGTGTAAAATATACATGAAATAAATACATCTAATAAAAAATATAACTATACACAGCATATCAGCTAACCAACAAAAAATACGGCATCACAACTTACGGAAAGATTCTTAATCGTGCATTCTCTTTCGGCCAGCTGAAATGCAAGCACCGCCACCTGGTAGATATCTGGTCGACGACTGCAGTCTGGATCCAACATATAAACTGAAGAACAAGCAAAATTAACAGGTAGTTAGCTAGTGAGGTAATTAGCAAGCTCTAGAATCGTACAAATTCCCCAGAAGCAATGGCCACAATGAGGAATTATATATCAGGCGGTGAAAGGCTGAATGTTTCCTCCCCAGCCATATACTCTGTGCTGGAAACAAACTCTCAACAGATCCTATATGAAAGAGAAAACTTTATGGCTCGTCATACTTGAAAAATAGCACCAAAATGTTTTAATTATGTGCTGGTAGTTCCTGTGATTTTGGTACAGATATATTACCCGAGAGACGACTGTATGGCGCGGTGTATAATTAAATTCTTTCTCGTGGCGTTTGCTTAGCATGATTACCCAAACAAAATACTCCACCTTCAACTTTATTCTCGTACTTACTATACAACAGGATTAATAAGTGCGGTCTGAAATAAAAACAAGTTACAACATCAGCAAAACATACATATCAGTGCTCTCAGCTCCGGCGGATAGGCGGGTTCTGACGGGAACGAGAATGAGGCATTCTGAATAGCAAACGCACTCTCATTGAAAGGAAGGGTGAAGTAGCACAATTTGTACAGAAGCACGCCAAGCGCCTAAACACAAAGAAACGGGAGGCAAACTCTCGCTAAAACCGCGCACATGCTGATTCGTACCCAAATGTCGCTCTTCGTCGTGATCGGATGCCCTGAGTAGATGTCGACCATTTCGGGCGACCGATATGACAACGTCGTGAATCTGGTCACCTCGTCTTCGACTACATTGTACGAATGAGTAACGGACGAGAGCACCCGCGTAGTCGCGCTGCCGAAATCGCACAGTAAACACGTCTTAGTTTCGTCCAGCAACAGATTTTCCACCTTCAGGTCCCGATGAATTACAGGGGACTGGCACTGATGAAGCCGAGCCACGGCACCACAAACGTCACAGAAGATGTTGACGACTTCCCTCAAAGTCAAATATTAAAAAATGAAAATACTTCATGCAAACTTCAATGGTCAATAGTTTAGTTTAGTACTTCTCTCATATTAAACCATCCTCAACGATAACGTTATGCCTTGTGATATACTTTTAGTTAACAACAAGAAAATACACCATTCTTGTTGCATAAAGTCGAAGACCGTTCAGCAAGGAAGGGAGGTTTCCTTGAAGAATCTACGACAGTAATGAGTCTTCGCATTGATGAAAACCTCGGAGAGCCTGAACGAAAAATAAAATTTTGCCTGACCACGAAAAAGATGAGGACTGTGCTTAGCATATGATGTTTTGTCAGATGATCGCGGTAACAACAAGCTAAAAAGTTATATATACAGTCGAAGAGAAGCAGAAAATCTAAGTTACATTTATGCAAATCCATGCTCGAACTCCACCGCTTAACTTGAGGTTGTGTGTTTGTTGAGATCATAACATCAAGTCCACTAACTTCAGCTTAAGCATAAAGCTGACAGATTGTCAGACAAGGGCAGGCAAAGTGAGAAGCTTCAAAGAACTCCGCGCTATGACAAAACCTTTCGATAAAGAGGAGGCAATGATGTATATACACTCGCAGCGAAGACCGAGGTATCTTCATCTACATTACAATTATAAGTCAGGAACGAGAATGAATCCAGGATTAGCTAAAACGTCGGACAACCGGTAAACGACATGAACAGGCGTAGAAAACTCATTCAATAAAACTGTTGCCTACAAAAACCATCTACCGTCAGAATTATTTTAAAAA